ATTTCTTATCCTCAAAATATTTTACTCTTGGAAGTGGGGGTGCTTTGCTGGGGCTAATGCCAGCTGAGGGAGGCATTAATGATGTTGTTCTGTTATTGCTACTCATAGGCTGCAGTGGCAGATGCTGGAGCTGCCAGTGACCTGAGAGCCTTCAACCCTGCCTGTCAGCTCCCACCTTGCCCTGCATAAACACCTCTAGCCAGTTCACCCTTGCTCAGTTGGTGGGTGGAACAATTCCAGTCCAAAACAGAACCCTTGTAAATCACATATTAAAAGAGTTTTACAAGCCTGTGCACTAAACGGGAGACAGGCACACAAGGGTGCATTGTTCACACGTGTCTGGAACTGAGGCCAGAAACTTCAGGGAAAGGGAAGTGAGGCCACATGGGAAACAGCCCCAGTTGGGCAACTGCAGGACCACGGGTCCCTTCACAAGTCACTGGCTGGTTGCTGCAGCTGCTTTCAGCTCTCAGAAGCCTTTCTTAAATCAGATGCACCTAAAGATGCCTCAAGAGCACCCGTAAGCCAGACAAGTTCAAATCCCTACTGGGTGAACAAAGAGGCTGCCGATGGTGATAAAGGGGAAAGGATTAGCTTCCCTAGTGCCTTGAGGCCGGACAGGGTCCTGGTGGAGGGGAGCAAGGGCTGTGGGAGGAGCAAAGGGAGGAGGCAGCAGGGCACCCAGAGGGGTCAGATGGGCTGTTTCCCAGGTTTGAAGGATGGGGCTATTTGTCAGGGAGCAACAAATCAGTGTGAGCCACAGAGGGAAAATGTCCTGAGGATTCAGTCCAGTGGAACAGCTTTGGTCTTAAAGCCTAGAGATGAGTCTCTCAGGGGCTGGAAGTGATGAGAAAGCGGCTGGGCTGCTGTACCCCTGCACCCTGCAATTTAAATTAAGCTGGCATGGGCCTCAAGATGTTTGTACTTTCATCCTGGCCCATCTAAGCCTTGTCTACTTGCTTTTTTTTCCCAAGCATGCAGACAAGACCAGGGACTTGTTAAATGGGGAGAAATAGCCTTACATTTAACATAATTATGGTAGTTATATTTGAGAGAACAATGTAAGATAGTTTTAATGTTTAGCTATAAAAATGGCTTTAATATTTTAGATGGGCTTTCATACATCCTCCTAAGTCTTTCTTTTTTCCCCCAGGTTAAACCTGAACTTCACAAGCACTGATGATATGAAAAGATACAATTAAGTAAATATGTCTAAAGAAATTAAGTGCATTAGAATTCTGCCAAGCTTTGTGCAGGGCTTACCTCTCTTACCTCTTACTTGGTGTTGCATCTAGGCTATCTTCTAAAATTTGCACACCTTGCGTAGCTTTCTTGGCCTCACTGAAGCTGCACTGAAGTGCAGCTGCGCTGAAGTGTACACTGCTCTCAGTTGTAGCCACGAGGGTTGAATGGTGATTCCCCATGCCAGAGGCTGTACCTAGCTGGGGTGGTAACATCTGAAAAGACGAAGAGATACAACGTGAATATAAGTTATGACTTTCAGAGCTGATGTGAACATGACATTTAAAGACAGAGCACGGTGAGGGAGATCACCAAGGCTGCCTTGGATGTTTCTGTCAGCTGACGGTGGGGCTGGCTGCCTGTGATCTTGCTGCTGAAGAGATGCAACATCTTGCTGTGTTGACAGCAAGATTCTTCTGCTACCTTGGTAGCTCTCAGCTGGGGGCTGTTCTTCCCACCAGGAAGGGTCTTTGTTAAGAGTTGTACTGAGAGAGGTGTAACCTGCAGTTACTAGTGACAGCCTGGGGACCTCAGTTCAGGACTTTCATTGACTATTTCATGAAGGGTGATTTTTTTGGTTGTTACATGGGTATTCAAGCCCTCACATTCCCCAGGTGAGTGGGGGTCAGCATGAGCACCCTGCACGACCAGGCTGGGCACGTTGGGCTCTGGGGGTGATTTCTGAGCAGCACTGCTGAGCTGTTTTACACCCTGCCATCAAACTGCTGCTCCCCAATGTCTGCAGCTGCCTGGGGCTGGGAGGGTAGTCAGAAAGCTGACTTGTTGAAGCTAAACTCTTTATTTCCTCCCATGTGCCCTTCGGGACTCAGCTGTTAGAGGCTGGAGTGCATGCAGGAGGTAGGGTCTGGAAAGGGTGTGCAAGGCAAGCAGAAGTGATCCATCAGAATTGGTATGACCTCCTTGGCTTAGTGATGGCAAAAGTGACCCAAATGGTGGCCACAAAGGAACCTTCTTTTCTGTAGCTCACCCTTTGCAGCTTCTGTGTTATGGATACGAACTGTCACTGTCTCCTGGTCTTTGCTTTGTGAGCACTGAATTTCAGTCTATTTTGTGAACTTCCACATTTGACAAAATGAAGCTGGTCTTTAAAGTAATTTGTACTCCAGTTCAATCCCATTCCTAGGGCCGGTTGTGTATTTCTTAGCCATCACTTGGCTGGAAGCTCAGTCAGCCAGTACAGTGGATCTGGTACCTGCAACAGCCAGTCAGTGTGGATATACTGACACAGGAGGCATGCAAGGGAAGAAATAATGACAAATACTTTCTTCGAAAGTGCCCCTTTGGGTTACCCAAAGAATGACACGATAACAGAGTCTCTGCATGTCCCCACTCCAACCCCCACTCAAGGCAGGTCCATTTGAATAAAGTTGCTCAGGGCTGTGTGCAGTTAATGACTGAATATCTCCAAGAACAGGGGTCCCACCACCTCTCTTCACCATACTCCAGTGTTTGACCAATCTCTTAGTGAAAACACTTTTCCTAATATCTTAAGTGGGTTTTCCCATCTTCCATCTTGTACATATTTTCACTCTGTTCCTCCCCTGCTCACCTCTGAGAGGAGCCTGGCTCTGTCACCACCAGCAGTACAGAGTGAACTGGGTACTTGGCTGGTTTCTCAAAAGTAAGATGAGATGAGTGAATAGCTCTGTAAAGGCAACCTGTGTTCTGTGCTTGAGGAGAGTGAGGTCATGGTGATGCTGGCAGTGCTTTGTGTCGGAGAGTTCATTATTAATTGTGTTATCTCAACTTTCATGCTCTCTTTGTGGTGTACCAAGTGACTGCTCTTCAACAATGTGAAGCCCTCCATCTCTGGGTAAGGAATACCTCTGGGTTCTGTCTTTCATTAGGTTTGTTCTGCTGTGTGTGTGCTCAGCATTCCTTTCCCCTTAGACAGACAACCTCCTAGGCTTTTAAGCAAGCCAGGCCATAAAAATATTTACATTTTTCTATAGCGTTTGGTCTGTACACAGTCAAACAAGCATGGCACTCACTAAGGAATTGTGGGACCAGGATTCAGAGGGAGCGTGGCACCCTAAGCTGCAGCAGGCTGGCTTGCCTTGCTCTCCCACCCCTGCAACAACAAGACCATCTCACACAGAAATGTCTCTGTGGCCATGAGACTTCTCTGCGGGCCCCGAAAAGGGGCAGTGTGTTGAAACTGCCTATCTAGACACAATTCCAGGCAGCAGATTGTTAGCATTATTCTACTCACAGGAAAAAGCTCTTCTCTGTTTTAAAGGCAGATGTGGTATTCGTTCAAGATGTGTTTGATGCAGTTAAATCTCCATATATAGCAAGGAGATTATAGCAGATGCCTTCACCACTGCTTCAGGCTTTTAGGGTAGGGTTAAGGTGTCTTCCCTCCTGAGTCAGTCGTGATCCTTCACCTACTTCTGTGCACGCTGCTGACATCAGCACTGTGATTGATGGTGCGGAATCTGGGCTTTGGGGCTTATCTTACAAAGCAAAGGTTTGTTGCATCTACGTGCATGCTCGTTGTTCCCTGTTCTTTGTACCCCACTTGTGGAGCAATTGTGGCAGCTGGGGAAGGAGAGCTGGCATGGGACTTTTAACAAGGGCATGTAGTGATAGGACAGGGAAGAATGGCTCTAAACTGGCAGAGGGCAGGGTTAAGTAAGATATTAGGGAGAAATGCCGTACTCAGAGGGTGGTGAGGCACTGGAACAGGTTGTCCAGAGAAGCTGTGGATGTCCCATCCTTGGAAGTGTTCAAGGCCAGGCTGGCTGGGACTTTGAGCAACCAGGCCTAGTGGAAGGTGTCCCTGCCCATGGCAGGGGGTTGGAACTAGGTGATCTCTAAAGTACCTTCCAACTAAAACCATTCTATGATTCAATGATTCAAGTGAGGCTCAATGGGAACAACCAGGCTGTGGCAGGGATACAACCAGGGCACATGTCACAGTCCTGTAGCTCTGTGAGTGCTTGCTGATGCAGGGGTTTGCTGGAACTTACTGGATCCGGGTGTCCCACTGAAATTCAGTGGGATTCTGGCTCCCGGTGTTCTGTCACACATACTATGCTGTTACAAGTGAGACTTAAGTAGCTGCAGGGATTTTCCAGCATGCCTGGGCACCTCACTCCTGCTAATGTCAGTGTAAGGTAGCAGCCTTGGCGAGTTTGAAAATCCCACTAGACATTTACTGCAACCCTGCTCAGCCAAACCCCTCATCCAGGCTCCTTTTCCTTTCAGCTGTACTGGAGTAGCCCTGGAGATAGAGGGAACAGAAATGCAGGAGTCAGGCCCCTTGCCCATCCTCAAAGATAGTACATTCTTTCCAGATGGTAAGAAAATTAACTGTCTTCCTCTGTTATGAAGAAAAACCTTGGGCTGAATTTGTATCAATTTATTTATTTTTATATGTATCTATATGTGTATTGCTGTGGTTAAGCACAGTACACATTACACTGTCTGATGTGTCCACGGAAAAGTCGAGAAACAGTTTCTGTGAGAGCCACAATGTATTTCCCTGTTCTACTGAACGTGTGTATGAATTTGATTTTATGTATCCTTTCACACACATATGTCTGTATCAATACAAAAATACGGCTCTATGGACCCTTATCTGTCATTCCTCTAGTCTCTCCTCTGTCATTTCTCTATAGACTGTGTGTATGATCTATATCTCTGTCTAACCCTAGAGTTTACATTCATCTAGTATATATCATGGCTAAGTGTTTGTGGGTTTTACAGAAACATTTCTTTTTGTTTTGACGCAGATGCATAAAGCAACTTTCCAAGATGATGCTCTAAGAAGAGCACTGAAGAGCTCTGAAGAGCTTGAAGGTGGCAGGTAGGGGTGGCACACCTGAACTGCTCCTGGCTGCCCTGGAACATCCCACTGAAGATAACATTTATGGTAAATAACTTCCTGCTGGTGGCATTATTGCAGGAAATGCTAAATGAATCTGATGTTGAATGGTTACAGGCTTACCTTTCCTGATAACTCTATGTTAATGTTACATTAATTATTCCTGACTTACAATGCTGTTGAATGTTGATAAAAGCTGAATTGCTACTTGAAATGCTGATCCTGACAGTCCTGTGGCAGGCGCTAAAATGTGATTTCCCAGTCTTAAGGGAAAAAGAGGGAATACATTACTACTGCGATTAGTGCACTTCAGAAGAAATGTATTCCAGTCACATCTCATGGAGCGCTCACCTGAATCCCTCTTGCTTTCAGTAGCCTTTGCACACGACATAAAAGGAATATACACTTCCCTGTTTTTATTTAAAATTTTATGGCAATTGCTGATGTGGATTCAGTTCAGTGTGTGTGAACAGGTCCCCACAAGAAAGGTGCTGCATGTACATAGAGCAGGAGGCATTTCCTTCGCCTGACAGCTGACACATGGCAGTAAAGCTTATGGAGCAAACAGGGAGAGACCAATTCTCGCTGCTATCACCTTCCCTGCAATTTTGAATCTGAGCTTTTTGACTCCAAACTCTGTCATTGCCCGTTTCTGCACAGCCGCTGTTTATCTCAGGTATCCCTTGTGTAACAATGCCATTTTCATGGTGTAAAGAAGATGGGAACTGTGTAGCAAGGTTGAAGACTGCCAGAACTGGGAAATCACAGGGCTTAATTTCCCATTGAGCCCAACAGTTACGTTCAGCTGTCATCCTCCAAAGTCCCCTCCCTCTAAGTGCTGTAGGGGAAAATAAGCAGCTCTGACATTTCTCAGCACTTCCACCCCTCCCCAGAGTCAGGATGACCTGTGTGGCAGGGGAAGGGTTGAGGAAGGGAGGAGAAATGTTTATAGGGTAGAATTTTGGGGGGTGTGGGGAACCTTCTTCCACTGTCCTGCACAAGCAACCACTGTGGCCTTCACTGTAGGAAAAATGTTCCATCTCTCAGAGGGTGTTTGAGGTTTATGTTTGTTTATTTATTTAAAAAAGAAAGCATCTGGCATTTGTATGCAAACATTAATGAGTCATTTAAAATATACTCAGCACTGTACTTGGGAGGCTGGGATCTTCCAGCTAGAAGAAATGAGATGAAAGGGAGCAGGCACACCCCAAAGGACTTCTTTCCAAGGATAAGGAGGGGAGACAAATCTTATTTTTACCTCCCTTCTCTTCCCACCTCACCACAACTCCAGGAGCACTTCTGGCCTTCTAAACCCCCTTGGTGAGTACTTTGAAGTCAGAGTTCAAAGGAGTATCTTTGAGGCTGCTGTGCCCTCTGTGGAGAGCCCGGTGCTTGCCAGTGGGTCTCTCCGAGGAAAGCAGTTTATTTCTGGCACTGTGCAGGGCCACAAATAGACTTGCCAGTGGGGAGGGAGAAGTGTGGGTTGGTCTGGCTCTGTCCTTTCCGCAGTGTCAGCTGGCAGCTGGAACCACTTGAATCCATTAAAATTCATAAATATATGAGAAGAGAAGCTCTAAGAAGACTCAGCCGCGTTCTCGGAGGTTCGTGAGCAGCACAGCAGGCCAGGAGCTCTGGCTGGAGCCATGTTTGAAGGCCAGTGGACAGGGTTCCACTGCAGTGTTGGGATTATAGGAACTTCTGGAGTTTCTTTACAGGAGGAAATTTTCAAGTATAAATTAAACATTTAAATCTTCAGCAGTGTAACACTCAGAGAATTTCAGTTTTGGGAGAAAGAAATCTTCTTGCTTTAGATTTGTCTCTGGGAAGGAGCTGTAAGCTAAATCTCCCAACAGGAAAAGGTGCTCTTATGTCAGGTTACACTTTCACCATCTGCTCTATCAGTGGCAGCATGATGACGTTGTGTTGGTTGTACCAAGCATTTTCCTTCTGCAAAGCCTACACACTCCTAGATTATTAGAATGAAGCTACTGTGCCTAAACAAATACTTGATTTTGTTTACTGCTTGGTTTTGTCTATTCCTGCTTCTCAGGCCTTTACTAGAGAGAGGAAAATAAGAACTGAAGCAATTCTGGCACCTGGGATGTGTTTAAGAAACAGAGAGAGCACTGTGTGATCCAAGCACCTGCTGAAATGTTCCCCATGCACCCAGAGAGATGCTCTCTTGTGTTTCTCCCCTCTGGCATAGTGAACTCATCCATCTTCCAAATTGCTTTTTGTAGAAAGCTGCTGAATCATACACAGAAACGCTCTTGGGAGGGGAAAAGAGACTTCCTCAGGCAGTGCTCAGCAGTGGAGGGTGGTCAAATGGACCTTCCTGGCTGCTACTGCAGAGAATGCTCAGGACATGCAGGTCCAACACCCCTGTTTATGGAAGTAGTTTGCATTTGAGGAAAAGCTATCATTTTTAAAATTTATTTTAAATAGATACAGCTTATTTCCTTTTGCCTTTGGAAACAGCTGTGCCTCTGTGTGTGGAACAGCTTTACTGTGGTTTAAACTGTACTGGCTCCAGAGGCACTTCATGCTGCATCACTGTTCATATACCCTTACAACTTCCATGTGCAGATGAACCCTTGATGTTCCTCCATCTCCTGGCAGTGTCAGTTCCTGTGAACAGCTGTGTCCAGGCCCTTGAGATGTAGAGGAAGAGCATATTTCAGTCTGTCGGGGCTCTTTCGAAGAAGCAATGCAGCTGGTTCATCTGCTGCTGTGGAACTTGGATGCCTCCCAGAGATTGCTCCTGTGTCATCATCCCACAGGCTTTGGAGGCAGGGTCACTTAATTTTAAACAGGATGTTTCATACTTCTGAATACTGCATGACCTAGAGTGCTGTGTGGATGGAAGGTTAGAAGTGAACCATATAAAAAGTGTATCAGAAGGAGAGAGTGGGCACCTTCTCAATGTGGTTAAATGAGCTGGAAACCATGGTGCCCAAAATGGGACAGTGCTGCAGGGAGGGATTTTGGTGATCCTCTCTTTCAGTGCTTCTTGTGAGGCTGAAAAATGACTGATGCTTGGGCAAGAGACAGCAGATACCCAGAACTAGAAGTATGAGTGGTGAGTGAAAGAGTGGAAGAGCAGGTGAGTAGTTGCTGAAGGGGTCACAAAGCATCTGAGAAGTATTTCTGCAGAGGGGCTGAGTTTCTCTACCCAGGCTAGTGCAATAATTAATCTTTTGTGATTCTGACAGATGCTTGCAGAGAAGCAGAAACAAAGATCATGGTCTGACAGTGATTAATGCATCATTAGTTGTCAGATTAAGATTTTGGAAGTGGGTAAATAAGCCGTAGGCCAGGTTGTTGATTGTGTTTGGGAAAACTGCAGAGGCTGACAGCCTGGGGGGAGCTGGGCTTCAGCAGTTACTTACCACAGGCACTTACTGTGTGTTGTTTGAAACCACCCTGTTCACAGGACAGGAGGAGAAATGGGCATGCAATTTCTGAAACAAAGCTCTGCCTCAAGCCTTGGTTATGCTGGAAAAGTGACAAAAGACAGAACCAACCCCAGCCTGTGTTGCCCTGGCGTCTTTGCAGGGTATGGAGGAGATTGGGCAATGGCCAGAGTTCCAGGACACCATGACACTGCAAAGCATCTGTGAAGGAGGTAAATGCAGTTCTTGCTGTGTATACTCATGGCTGGGGAGTGTGGGGGGCTGTTGGGGAGCTCCTCATCCCCCACAGGGTGGGTAGCAGAGAGGATGGGAGCTGCATGGGGCACCACGTGGCTGTTCCCAGGGAGAGCTCATTCTCGTGCTGCTGCAGCAGGAGGCATTGCTTGGGGGGCTGTGGTGCTCATCATCGTCTTTCACCCACGGGCTGTGTCCCAGTGCAGGCTGTGCTCCCACTGCAGCTCCCAGGATGGTTCCTGGTGGGGATGGGGACAGCACTGCAGACCACGGCAGCACTCACATGAGAGCTGGAGTGGAGGTGTTTGGGTGGGAGCAGCTCTGGTTAACAGCTGCCTAGGGAGGCTGTGAGTTGAACCAGGAGGCAGTGGGCAAGTTCAGGCACCTCCAGGGCTAGGCAGCAGCAGAATGGGAATATGGAGCTCCCAGATTGCAGTTTTCAACTAGGGTGCCCAAATTCTGCCAAAATCTTGCTTAAGGTGCCTGTGGTGTTTGCAGGTTTTGGTTTTATTGTAACAGCAGCAGCCTTTAATCTCTGTGGCTTGCATTTTCCTTATGTAAGATGGGCTTACTTGTGCTCAACCTTGTTTTGCAAAGAGTGCTGCTATCTCTGTGTGAATGTTTCAGTAGACAACCACAATATTTAACACATCACATTGCTCTGTGGCTCTGCCTAATTCTTACACCAGTTTCCTAGCTTCTTAATGTGTGTACGTTGGATCTGAGCTGTTTATCAGTTTTTGGAAGAGGGATTTGCTCAGAAGTAAATCTCCACAAAGGGCTGGAGAAAGAGGATATCTGTAAGCCCTCCTTAGCCTTTTAGTATGGCATGAACAGGATGGGGGCTGCACACATCCCTTCACCTCAAGTGTTCAGCACTGCACAGGACCAGCATTGAAGTGTTAGCTATAGTCACATATGGCCATCCTGTGTTTGCACATTTTCCTCTGAGTGTCTGAATGGAAGTGCTTTAATCCTGTCAGTTCTTGGTTTGAAAAGCTGTCGGCATCGTGTGTCTGTCCAGTGGAGGCAATGAGTATCACAGCCTGATCCTGCTGTCCTGACTGCCTGTGTCAGGGGCTTTCTAGGGCCTGTTGCAGCTCTTCTCCAGCCCCAGGTCCCAGTTTTAGTCCTGAAGTGTTTTATTTTGTTTGCTGGATGTTTCCTCTTGTTCTCCTGTTGTCATTCACTGTGACTAGTACTGCCTGATTTCTTCCCCAGAGTAACACAAAGCAAACCAATTTCCCCACATCCCACTGCTTCCGCTCGTTGCCCGCAGGGGCATCCAGCCTGCAGCACCAAGAACCTGCTCAAAACCTTCCAGAACTGAGCTTCTTTCCATGAAAATATGGAGCCGCGTTCTCAGGCTGATGTAAACTGGTGTAGCTCCACTGATGTTGATCCAGCTTATACAAGCCAAATATATGGCTTAAACTAAGTGAATCACTCTGTTGGAATGTAGCCAGCTCCGAGGCATACCTGTCCCATGGGGATGCTGAAAAGTGAAAATTGCTTCCACCCTTTTTGGCTGATAATCCACAAACGAGCCACAAATTTGCTGTGCCAGAAAGGCTCCAGTGCCACAGTGAGTCACTTCACCTGCTGTAAAACGTCACTGTTCTGGAGAGAGGTTCAGCAGCTGTTCAGCAGAGTGTAGCCCAGGTGGCAGAGATGGTCCTTTTATTTACACAGCTCCATAAATGAACTCACTGCTATGCAAAATAACAGCCCTTCCTTGAGCAGTTTCCAATGCACCTCGCTCTGGAGCAAAGCAGGACAGTGCTGCTGTGAGCCCAGGAATGTTGCAAGAAAAGTCCCAGCTGCTTGTGGCCGTAGGAGCAAGCACTGCATGAAAGACAGCACCGTGTCACCAGTGGGGCTTTACAAAATGTGTCTGGAGGTCAAAACCCACCTTCCCTTTTGCTTGCTTTCAGGAAATGCAAGGAAAATAATTGCTCCACCTTGCAGGTACAAAATAAGATGCCATGTTCCTCACAGCGGCCAGAGTTGACATGGATGAACAGCTCTCCCAGAGGGACCTGCTTCCCTATGGGAAGATGCCCAGGACAATAATGTTTCTGCTAGTAGAGCTGAGGTAACATTTTTCAGATTCCCCAGGATTCAAGGGTTTGTGACATCTGGTCACATCCGTCTTTTGTCTTTTTTTTTTTCTTTTTTGAAATCTCCTCTTTTCTCAGGGGGAGCTGGTGCCAAGAGGCTTCTCACAGTTAGGGGTAGGGCTGCAGGACCATGGGCTCCAAACCCCACACTGAAAGGGATGAGGAGGTGGAGCAAGAGGGAGGCAGACTACCAGGCACTGTGAACCTGGGCTTTCCCTGGGGTTGTTCATGTGTGCGATCACCAGGGTTTTCCAAGGTAAAAGGCATCAGCTGCTGTGCTGGCTGATGGTGCAGGAGCAAGCATTGCCAGCTCTGCAAAGCTGCGCCCTGGAAAGAGCTGCTGTGATCGGAAAGTGGAGTTTATTAACTCCAGATTTTTCCAGTGAGGCTGGCATGCCAACAATAGGGTCTGAACACAAAGGATCCCTTGCAGATATAAATCAGGGGAAGGCATCTCCAAAGGCTCCTGCTAGCCTGAGTCACGCACAGCCGCTGTGCCAAGTGCCAGCTGCTGAGTGGCAGCGGGCCTGCAGCTGAGTCACAGGCACCCAGCTCAGGGGGCATTACTGGTAGCCTGATTAGCAAACCCACTAAAAATGTGCTGTGCTGACTGCAGAGCACAGGTGTCTCAAACAGAGGACTTGCCCCTTACTGATGGGCAAAGGGGGCTTCGAGCAGCTGGTCAGTCAGTAGGGGAAAAGGAGGAGGTGATTATAGGTCCTGTGGTGCTTCAGTTGAGGAGAGGTGTTAGGGAATAGCTAAGGGATTTACCCCTGATGAAGGAAGTAGGGCAATAGCTATCGCTGTCCCAACCATCATAACCCTCTACCTCCTTTCACATGTTTAAAAATATCTTTATTATGTTATTCGGTCTACAGGAACAGATGGAAATGTTGGAAAGGTTACCTCCTACTGTGCTTGATACAGCCCCACAACTGGAAATAACCATCCCTGGAGCTCAGCCAGTACAGACAAGATGTGTGTGCACCCTTTGTCTGCTCTGGCACAGCATCAGCCTTCCTGGGGTGAAGAGTGGGAGCCTGAGCCTCCCCTCCTGTGGCTGCAGCGGCCTAGCACTCACCCAGCTGGCTGGAAGCTTAAAGCCCTCCTAGCTCTGCTTGGGAGAGGACCCTTCACTTTGTACAACATCCTTAAGAAAGGTTTAGGAGAGGGTTGGGTACATCAGGAACAGCTGACAGGATGGGGCAGACAGCAAACAACTGTCTTGCTGTGCTCCTCCTGTGCATTATAATGTCTCTAATCTCTTGACTCCCCTGCAAATGCTGATGGAGTTCACTGACAGATGAACGCTTTCTAGCAGCTAAATGAGTAATTGTTCCTTTTGTGTTGGATTTATTTAGTTTTTTTGTTTTGTTTTGTTTTTTTACAGGGGAAAGGCCATATTTGGGACCTGATGTTAGGTCAGAATTGGAGCTGGAACTTTGAATACCATTTTTTCCCCCCCAAAATGGTCCTGTATTCTACTCTCTCAGCCTTGTCCTCAGGTAAGTGCTCTACTTGCTCTACACTTGAACACTGAACAATTTTTCTTGCTGCTGCTCAACACAGCAGGATGCTGAACTCTCTACTTTTCATGTCCTTTTTAATAATTGACCATCTTGAACCTTCCCATTTTGCTTGGAATATAAACTTTTTGTGGGAACACTTTCCTGTTTGCACCCACTCTGTAAATCTTGATGTTAGTCTTTGATTGGGATGTTGTTGATATTTCTGCAGAGTAAATAGAGTTATCATATGTATCCAGAACTTAAAATTCAGGTGAGAGCAGCCTGTGTGGGTGCAGGGATGTGCATTGCAGAGACAGGCAGAATAAAAGTTCAGTTATTTTTCTTTTCTTTTTGTGCCGCAGGACAAACCTTCCAAAAAAATGAAGGCTTTGCCACATGTTTTCTATAACCAGCCAAATAAAATATTATGTTTGATATTATTCAGGCTCAGAGAAATAACTCAGGGGTCTGGGCTTGGCATTTTTTCTTCCTCACAATACCTTCTGCTGAATGATAATCTTTAAAACTATGCACGTGGGGGGCCAGATCTTGACCCCCACTGCATCTGCTCTGTGCTCCTGCAAAAAGTGCTGAGCAGGCAGAAAGTGAGTTTAGCTGGATTTCTGGAGATAACCCTGCCCCAGTCTTCAGCTGTGAGGCAGGAGGCTGGGCACTATGGCAAGAGTATGGCAGAAGGAAGAGAACTTGTGATACTTGTGTATTTGGGTACATGCTGGGTGGGGCTGTGGATATTTCCCCCAACAGCACCCCACGGGTGAGGTGGTCCCTGGCTACGCTCACATCAGGGCTCTGGTGCTTGGCAGGAGACACGGCTGTGGCTGTTTTCTGGATACAGGTATCACTGCCACATGAGAAATGTGTGTGTCACATGGAGCGCAATTTTTCCAGCTTTCTCATGTGTAAGTTTCCTGATGCAAACTTCAGAGTGTTTGGTTACCACACAGCGATCCTGAGCAAGCACAGCAGCTGGGGCATTCCTGCTGCTGGCTTCCCAGTGCCCGAGTCTGTGGACAAGCACACACATCTCTGTCATGAAGCATTCTCCTGGAAATGTTCCCTGGAGCGTGTTTTCCTTTCAGCAGCAAGCAGGGGCATTTGCTGTCTTGGAGGGCCTCGCTGCTGTATAACTTGGTGCTGATTGCTACAAGCAGTAGAAACTTTTTCTGCATTAAAACAGAGAAAATCAAGCTGGAGTGGGCTGGAGCTATTCATAGAGCATGCTGTGTTTGAGTAACCCAGTAGTTTTCTTTAAAGACTCTGAATGGCTTGGTTTATACAGCTTTTTTCACTGTTTAAAACTGATGTCTTGTTTTAACAATAGATCAGTCTTGGCTAGTTTATTTAAAAAAAATAATCTGCATTGAGTTTATCCATAATTATCCACCTCTGAAATTCCAATTTTGCCTATTCTCCATTTTCTCACAAACTGACAATACTCTGAGCTTTCCTCAGAGAGATGGATCATGAAACAGAGAATAAGGAGGAAATTTAAGTTTTCACTACAATGTATTATTAAAAAGCATAGGGTGTTTTTTTTTGTTTTGTGATGATGGAGGAAAGATTGAAAATGAGAGCTGAATATACTCCACAGGTTCAGGAACCAGAAAACTATGAATAAAGAACCCAAAATCCATTGCAATTTTTTTGTTTGCTTGGGTTTTTCTGTTTTTAAATCAGCAAGAGGGTTTCAGAGGCTTCATTTGCACATTTATCCCTAGGAATGGCAGTGCTGGGATCCTATTGAACACTGCAGGACAGCTGCTCCAAATTGCACTGTGTTTTCCCTGATCATCAGTCCATCCATCTTCCCAAAGTCCTTCTCTTTCTACCCCAGTGCAGTTTCTCACTGAAGGAGTTTGCTCTGTGACCCAGTTTGCTGTGTTTTCAGTTTGCTGTGTGACCCAGAGGAGCCTGCAGCTTGCAGGGTGGGTGCCTCAGGGCTGTGCCTTTCCCAGGTACTTCCCACAAGACAAATATCCATTCTGTCTGCTCCCAGGGCTGGTCACTGCAGGATATGAATAGATTCCTTGGTGCACACTTCCAAAACTGAGTGGTAAATGGCCACTTTTGGTAAAATCCCAGCCTGGTTTGAGGACCGCTGGCAGTGGCAGCTACAGCCATGGGAGGCTGATTTGATTGCAGAGTGCAGGTGTCTGCAGGCTCCCTTTTTGTTGTGTTCTGGTGTTTCCTGGTAGGCTTTCCAAGGTGGTAGATGGGGAGAAGTGCTGTGACTGGAATGACTTTCCTCCCCTGCCACCCTGCAAGAGAGGTGCAAGCCTGCCCTGAAGAGCACCCTCTCACCATGGGCTGAGCCTGTCACCTGCCTTCATGTGCCATGATGCCTCTTCTAGTAGGGCTGCCCACAGTGTGGGCACCAAGTATATCCACTGATAGAGAAAAATCCCAGGGAAGGAGAGGAAAAGCACAGGTACTTTCTAGTCAGGACTTTGCTGTTTTGCTGCTAGTAAAGGGAATTATATATTTTTTTTAATCCCTCTCTTCTCCCAGGTTTCCAAAAGGATTTATGCTGTTCCCTAGAGGTCTTATGTATCCTGTTGTGCATCCCAATCACTGAGGAGGAACTGTGCTTGTCCCAACCAGTATCCATTGAGCAGCCAGACCACTTGTGATAGAGAGGCACAGCTCCACCTTCTTTTCTCCTGAGCACTTTCTGCTGCTGGCTTTGCTTCTCTACCTGCTGTTTATAGTACAGGCTTGTCACAGATGTAAGCTCATTAATCATCCCAAGCCATGCTTCCCTGATTCCATTTATAGCACCTTCCTCTATTCCGTTTCACAGCCCCCACCTTGGTCACTGCTCAGTTCTTGGAATTTAGGCTTTGTTTTTGCTTAAACTTGGAATGGATAAAGTGTGAAAAAAAGAGAAAAATTTGGAAAGGCAGATGAACATCACAAGCAAAGTGTATGTAGGAGACATTTAATGTTAGACTACTTGGCCTAAAGTGCATGGGCAGAAGACTGGCAGCAAAGCTATTGCATTAAGTGAAACAGAGACCATTACCCTAAAAAGTTAATAGGCGCAGGACAGACAAACAGGAGCCCTTTCATCCTCTTGAGATTTCTTGTGTCCTGCCAGCAGCTGAGATTGCTTTACTGCCCTTAGCACTGGTCAGTCCAGTGCTGACCCTTGGCCACCAGCCTGGCTGGGAGTCCCATGGGCAGCCTGCAGGGGGAGGGGAAGTGACACGGAATGTAAAATTCTCTGCAGAGGTATTTAGGTGCCCAAACATGCAGAGAGGCAATTAGTGGCCTTTCAAAAGTGTGGTGGTTTGACCCTGGCTGGATGCCAGGTACCCACCAAAGCCACTTTATCACTCCCCTCTGGAACTGGACAGGGGTGAGGAAACACAACCAAAGGCTTGTGAGTTGAGACAAGGACAGGGAGAGATCACTCAGTGATTACTGTCACGGGCAAAACTGGCTTGATTTAGGGAAATTACTTGAATTTATTACTAATCAAAATCAGATAATGAGAAGTGAAACAAATCTTAAAAAACACCTTCCCCCCACCCTCCCTCCTTCCCAATTTTCTACCTCCTCCCTGCCACAGCAGCACAGGGAGGTGGGGAATAGAGGTTACGGTCAGTTCATCACATGATGTTTCTGCTGCTGCTTCCTCCTCAGGGAGAGGAGTCCTTCCACTGCTCCAGCGTGGGGTCTCTCCCACAGGAGACAGCCCTCCACAAAATTCTCCAGCATGAGTCCTTCCCATGGGCTACAGTTCTTTGCTAACTGCTCCAGTGTTGGTCCCCTCCACATGGTCAGTCCTTCAGGAATAGGCTGCTCCAGTGTGGGTCCCCCATGGGGTCATGGGGTCCTACCATGAAGCCTGCTACAGTGTGGGCTTCTCCTGCAAGAAGCCTGTTCCAGGATGGGCTTCCCACAGGGCCACAACTGTCTCTCAGGTATCCACCACTCCAATGTGGGACTCCTCCATGGGCTGCAGGTGGGTCTCTGCACCCCTGTGGTCCTCCATGGGATGTGGGGACACAGCTGCCTCACCATGGTCTGCACCACCAGGCTGCAGGGGAATCTCAACTCCAGCGCCTGGAGCACCTCCTCCCCCGCCTTCTCCACTGACCTTTGTGTCTGCAGAGTTGTTCCTCTCACATATTCTCACTCCTCTCTTCTCTGGCTGCAATTACTTCTGCACAATAACTTTTTTTCTTTCCTTCTTAAATATGTTATTCCAGAGGTGTTATTACCATCCCTGATGGGCTCAGCCTGGACCAGTGGCAGGTCCATCTTGGAGCTGGCTGACATTGGCTCTGTTGGACATGGGGGAAGCTTCCAGCAGCTTCACACAGAAGCCACCCCTGCTGCCCCCTCCCCTACCAGAACCTTGTCATGCAAACCCAATGCGTTCTTTGGGAGATTAGAGGGAGACAGGAGAAAATACCCATTTCAGGGATTGAGTCTGAAGAGCCTGGCCCACCTTGAGGCCTTGGAAAACCTCACCAGGCACCTCTCTTCATTTTTAGGCTCCTAAGTATCTTGGGAAATCTGCTTCAAAGTAGTTATTACTTCTGTTGAGCAGTTTCTGCCTGTTCAAGGCTGGGAACAGAGTCTCAGCAGTGTGTGGAACTTGCTGTGTGAAACTGCTGCCATAACATGAGGGTTGTACAGATTACAGGGATGGAAAATGACTCCTCCAGTAGCATGTTCCTAGCTGACATTGGTTTGCAATAGGTCTGTCAACAGCAGCTGGAGAGATCCTGGAAAACAATATGGTTTGGTTTTAATTCTATAATCCTTTGTCTGCAGCTAACGTGTTGCAGTATTGCTTAGAGATGAGCTGCGCTGATGCCACTGCTGTACTCTTGCTGGTTTGGAGCATGGGGTCTGCCTGGCCAGGTCCAGGAGGAGCTGGGAAGATGGACTGGCTTGCAGTGCTGTTTGAAAGCTGCACAGACCTGTAAGTCACTTGTATTTATATAATTTTGTCCGTCTTTTTCTACATCTGAATTTCAAACATCCGTTATAAGGCAATACTGCTTTAGAGGTGAGCCAAGTTTTTCTTCTAAAACACATGTTCCCTAAAGCCTTAGTACTTCATTTCCTTTGTTCTGATTTATTGCTCTTGCCTTACCACATGTGCTAGGCAGAGCAGAGAAAAAACTACCGAACCCACAAAAACTACAAAACAGTCCTCTCTATCCTCTCCCCAGACCACATATATCAGGATTAACACAATGAATATATTATATCAACTGATTCAACAATGAACTAACTTATCTGCAATTTCTTAGCTGCCTCCAAGTAAATATGCTGATGAAGAGTGAGTGTAGGTTAATAATGTGAAGATTATGGTAAACCCAGTGAAAGCTACTGTGGGGAACTGAAAAAATGGGATAGATACTAAATCTAGAGAATGATAGTGAGATTAAAAAATAAAAATTGTTGGCTGCATTTTCTAAATAGGCATTTTGTGGATATAAATTTTTACGTGCCTTTTATCAATACCTAAAATGGCCTAATTTGTCAAAAACTCTCTTCCACAAAATAAAGGCCATTTTTTGGTCTCCCAGGGTAAGCATCAAGCAACCAAGGCATGCAATTGCTAGTAAAAAAAAAAAGGGGAAAAATAAAATAAAAAATTGGTTGTTACTGTGAGTTTTATAGGGCTCTTTGAGATAGAAAAGTTCTATTGAAATTTGCTTTCTTGGAGGTTGTTCAGCCTTGACAATAACAGAAAGGTAAATTATTTTCATTGGGATTTATGCTAAAGTAAGCTCCATGTTTTTCTCTTCAAATATGAAGCAATAGTGCAGAGATTGAGCTGTGGCCATGAGTCAGACGAACCTCAGCAGAGAAAAGCTGATTTGGCACGATCTGTGCTGGGTGTCTGTGCTGTTCCTCAGGCAAACCTCTAGGAAGTGCCCAAGTCCAGACCCACAAGTGGGATTGTTGTAAGTCTGCAAAAACTTGCCTATCCATAATGGAGTTTTTAACTCCCTGAGCACATGTTGGATGTCTGGTGTCTTGGCCACGTCCTTGGCAGGAGGAGGCCTGGACATGGTGAGACTGGTGACTGACTGAAATGGTTTTGCGTTACTGTGAGGGTTGCCAAGGTGTAGTTTGTGTCCAGTCCCCTCTGGCCACTCTCACGCTGTGCTCAGCCATGTGCAGGACAGGAGAGCTGCTGTGCCACGTCCAGGTTGCTGCTACCAGCACTGAACAGAATTTGGGATTTTGTGAGTTAGTGGTTACCACTAAGCTCAGAGGGTTGGGATACAGCCTCTCTTTGCAGACAGACTGTTCACCTTCTAATGGCAGTGATAGCAGGGGCTGGGCTACGCTTCCCTCCGAGATCACCACGGGCTTTAGGAAGGATGAAGTGGTGAAACACGTGTCCCAATGCTCTAGAAACATAAAGGTCAACTAACACCAAGCAATCACGAGGGAAGGGATATCAGAGGGGAACAGTCTCAATACTTGCCTTCTGAATACTTTCTTCCTTTCCATGAACCAGAGGGGCAGCAGCTCGTGCTGTTGGGTACACTCACATTATTATCTGAGCTGATGTACCACGAGCTTCTGGTCTTTACTTGTGTTTTCCCTTTGAGTCAGGCTATTGATGGGAAGTTCGTTGTCATACTCAGGCCTGTTAACTGTATTAGTTAACAAAGGAGAGCATTCAAAAGCCTGCTCAGAGGCATATTTGTCTTTTTTCTTTTTTTTTAATAATTTTTTTCCTCCTTTTTAAATGTAAACAAGCTTTCCTAGCAGAATGTTTAATGGAATCTGCTTCCTTGAAACCAAAATGAGGCAACAGCTGTGATTGCAGCAAGCTGCAACATCTCATTGCTGGATGGAGGCACATCCTGTTACAAGTGGCGCTGCTGTAAAACCCCAGCAAAAGAACCTACTGAGACCTGCCTGGTTGGGGGCTGTGAACTCCCTTGAGGTGAGCTGAAGACCCAACTTCACTTCGTTTCTTTGAAGAAAGAGCTGTATGTACTCCAGCCAACTTCAGTGAACAGAAGCTTCAGTAAACCTAGACCTGAATTTGAGAGAATTTGGCTCAATAGGTGGGTTTCTGTGAAAACTAAGTCAAATTTTGTCCCCAAACCAGCAAAACTTTCTGGTTTTGAGCATCTCTGGAGGATTCAGTTAAGCCAGGAAGTCGGGGACGGTGACGACACAGAAACTCAGTGCTGGTGCATAAGTCTCACCTAAATCCTAAAGTGAAGATCAGATGCTGGTATGAAATGATCAGACTGCTGCTTTGACAAAACTCTGAGCACAACTACTGTAAAATATGTATCATTGAGCATCTTTGTAATAATAATAACAACCCAATGACTTTAGACTGCTTTCAGGTCCAACCAAGCAGTCCTTAAAGCAGTGTACTTGGTACCAAGGTCCTGTAAATTCTTTGTATTAGTATGACTTGTGTGGTTCTTGGGAGCTTTCTGAAAGGGCAAACTCTGTTTTGTTTTGGAGGAAAAAAGTCAAACCATGCTTGCCTGGTTGAAAACTACTTGTGAGAAGGTCTTTCTCAGAAAGACTGAAGAGCCTTGGGCCCTTTTTTGTTTTCTTAGAAAACAGGAAATGAATTTTAGCTCTGCAGTTGATTTCCTAAGTGACGTGCTTTCTACGATCACTTTTGGGTTCTGGAATGCTACAGAAGCTATCTGAGGGCATTTTCAACACTTCAAAATTAAAATCAAATTGTTTGAAATCGTGCCAGCATTTTAATGAAAATTATTTTCTTTAAACAAACACTTGAGGACTTTTGATTTTTTTTATTCACAAGAGCATTCTTAACCCAAACACTTTTTCTTCATGGTTTTCCAAGGATCCATTCTGCACTGCTAAAACCAAATGTGTCTCAGAATGTAATCAAATTCAAGATCTTTTCAGCCAAAATCTAGATGAGTGGAGAGTACTCGTTTCTCACACAGCACAAAGACTTAAGTAGGTGTAACTGCAAATACCATCTTTGCCTCTGTGCCCACAGAAATGTCTGGGCAGCAATACTAGCAAAGGCTTTTGCTGTGTGGAGAGGGGTCAGACGTGAAGCTGAGACCTGTGCAACTCCCAGCAGTGAGCATGGAAGCATGGAGGCAGAATCTGGCTGTAAATTAACTGCTGTGCAGATACTCTGATACCCAGCTTTCCATGCAGTGGAGATGAGAGAGCCACAGAAGCTGCTGCAGATTAATGGGAGAGGATTGGTCCAGCCCTTGCATCTTTGGAGGGGTTTGGTGAGTTTATACAGAGCTCAGGGGATGTTGCGTGTAGCCAGAGAGTGAGTCTGGGTGCCAGGAGCAGCATTGAGTCTGGAGATCTGAAGCACTGGAGCTTTTACCTGGAGCTCTTCCAACACTCAGGACATGGCTGGCTCTTGCTCTTTTCCCATGCAATGGGATTTAGCTGGCCCTGAGGCATTTCATGGACACTACAGCCTCTCAGGCACAGGTGGGTTTGAGCTGTAACTCAGAGCAGCCAGAAGCTGCCCTTTATCCTGCTGTAGAAATCTGGAAACCCAGGGGCCGGTGTTTCTGGCAAAGTCCATCTAGGCCTGTGTCTCATTCTTGACAGAGATCAGCAGCAGCTGCCCAGGAGTTGAGTTTGAGAACAGGATGTGCGTGTGACAAGGTCATTCCTTGATGCTCTCTGCTAGCTCTGGGATTTTTAGAAGCAAAGGATTTCCGTGGAGCTCGGTGGCCCTGTCCTTCTCTAAGTAGACCCCAGGACAAGCCCCACATCTGGGCTCTGGGTGCCAGCCCTGCTGCCTGCCCATGGCATGCCCTCCTAGGATGAGGCCTTGCTCTTGCCCTAGCCAGGGGTTTGGTTACTGCTGCTGGGTGATCGCTGACTGTGGGAATGGAAAATTAAATCAATCTCTAGAAAAACAGTGGTTGAGGGTTTCTGACATCATTTCATAGGTGGAGTTGTGAGAAGAAGCAAAACACTTTAAGGTAAAGGAAGCCAGTTGGGGATGCGGTTTTATTTATTACTGCCTCTTTGATGGATGTTTCTCCTTTGGAGATCAGAAGCAGGACTGATTGAGGAGTAGGTACCCTGCTCTGACAGACTCTGTCCTGTCTGTATGCCATAAATGAAGAAGCCTGAAGGAAGTGCCCCTCAGCAACACAAATTACTTGCTATTGTCAAGTAACTGCAGACGTTGTATGTTGGCAAAAAAAAAAATAAATTAAAAAGCCTTCCTAATGACCCCAGCAACACAAGCTCCTCAGTCAGCTGCAGGTCAGAGAGCCAATGCTGCATGTGTGCTTTCAGAAAGGGTGTGGAGCAGAAAGCATGCTATAGGATTGGGGATGTTTTTTTATCTTTTGGGTGCTATTGGTTACACTCAGTCCCTCAACAAACGCTTTTAACAAATGCTGTCATTCCTTTGCCGAGAAGAACACGTGTAAGTACAAGTGACCATGTGATCTCAAGACTTTGATGTGTTTCCCAATATATTAGATTTTCTGGTATTCACTTGGAGATTAACCACATTAGAGCAGGCTGCCTACAAGATAAATTTCCTATTAAAAATGTTGCGATATTCCCAACTTCCCCAGCCTTTTCCTGCAGCAATAAGCAAACTCTTTAAAGAGCCGTTAGCAAGGGAAACAGTCTAAGTCTTCAGAAACCTCTTCCTATGTGTAACCTTAAAAGTTACAACATTGCGATCTAGAGAAGCTACAAACAAAAAAGAGCTGCATAAAACCTTTTCAGCCCTCTGGACATGGAAGTCCTTCAGACCACAACTCCAGGATACTCTTTTTTGACACATATTGCCATACATTGTGAAGGTAATGCTGTCACCCTCAGCTTGCTTCCTCTTAACTGTCTGGGCCTGGCTGGGGCTGGAACTGCGGAGATGTGAGTGCAGATAGGATCTCCCAGAGGCTTATGTTGGTCAGGAAAATGCTGGCTTGGAAAAGGATGTGGAGCGTGTCCAACTAAGAAGAGTCTGCAAGGAGTTTTTGATGGTCTGTTATTTCACTATTAGCTGGGAGATGTGAAATTTCCTTTTCCGGATGAGCAGATTTTGTGTTTTGCAAAAGAGAGCAATTGCTTCTTGTAAGACTTAGCATTTCTGCTAATTTAATGAGCTATCCATGCAAATGGACTGCATTAGTCATTGGAAAGGCCTTTTTCAAGTTCCACAAGCGTGTTTTAGGCCTCTTGATAAAGCCAGTAGCATGCTGGACTCTCACAAGCAGAAAGACCTCCAAAAGTATGCAAGTTATTTCTGGCATGTTGTATTCTCAACATGTCAAGGAAACATGGATTATTTTTACACAAACAGGCAAATCCAAATGGTTCCTTAGCAAGCTCCCATGAACATTATTGGGCCCTGAGAAGGAAAAGAAAAAAAAAAGTAAGAAAAATCATTGCTTCTCAATTAGGTTTCTTAGGTGGATCATGTCACACATTCAGAAGTTCATTTGTACCAATTTGGACCTCTGGTGAATGATGAAGGATAAAACAGGAGATAAAAGCAAAGACCAGGAATTAATCTGGATATTTTATTCTTGAGTGGATTCTTTTTTTTCCCTTACTGTGAATTTATCTTCAAATGTAGACCGGGACAAACTGCAGACACTTTTGGAAGTTCTTTTTTAGCAGCCATTAAATGAAAGGAGGTGTGTAGGTGTTGAGAGGAAAAGGACCTCTGGAGCTGACCAGGCCAGTGTGGAAAGAACATGCCAACATCCTGCTGAAAACCACAAAGCAGCACACCAAGATTACTGGAGTGTCCTAAACCCTCCTGACATTGCAGCACACAAAGCCAGCTGTACGTTTCACAAATATTGGAGGCTGTTTTGAAACTCCCTATTAAGGGTTACAAATGCTGAGTGCAGTTTCTGGGCAAAGACAATTAGATATCACAGCTCTGGCCTCAGCTCGGTGTTCTATGTCTGAGCTCGCATTACTGCGGAGGGTTCTCATGCATTAGATTACCTCAGCCAAAACCAAAATCTGACACCCACCAAAGCAGAGTCCTGTGATTATGGTAAAAAAATTAAAAGTACGGCCTGGTCTTAGCATTTTTTCTGTTTCAGTGTAGAGAAGTATTTTCCTGCATGGTGAAGGAATTTTTTTACAGAAAAGAGGTGTAAAGCTTGCATAAACAGTGATACTGAATGTGCATCCTCATTCATAGTTGCTTCTCAGCATAGTCTGTCTGCTGGATCCATACTCATATTCAAATTCAGGAATAGCACTTCCTGCTTGGGCTTGGTGGAGACAAAGCCAGTTGTGTTAAGGTTTATTTTGGCCCAACTAGTGTCGTTAATGCTTACACAGATGAACATTAATAATTATCAATAATTATACCTTTGCTCAGTGGGAGGGTAGTTGTATTGCAAGTACTTATCCCAGGAAAAATAAAAAAAGGAAAGAAGGCACTTTTGTGCAGTCAAAACTTCCAGCAACTGGGTGCTCTAACACACTGTTAATGGGTACTGCACCACAGGGACAGTGCTGTTGTGTGATGTGCATTGCATCTGCATGAAATCAAAGTTCACACTGCCTTCTCTATTTTCCTTTTCCTTTTTTTAACCTTGCACTTAAAATTTCCCCTCTCCCCTCTGACAGGCCTCAAGAAGAAGCTTGGAATGTGGTGCCAGCACAACAGCAGACAGTGAGAGAAACTGAGGCAAGCACCTCCAAGATAAGTAATAAATGATAATTGTTATTTCCTATTATTAATCTGAATCTCTACTCCTGAGAATTTGAGTTAAATCCTAAATTTTCCTTTTATTTTTAAGCAGATCATCCAGCAAGTTAGAAAACAGCAACACAAGGAGGTCCTAAGATAGGGTTTGCTCCAGTTTTCCTGCTGAGCATCTGTTTAGGAATTGCTGCTAAAAAAAGTCAGAGGGGATGGTAGTTGCTGTGCTGTCACATGGGCTGATACAGCACAGAATCTGCTTAGCATTCTTGAAGGGAAATTATCCAGTGCTGTAACTCACAATTTATAATTGGTTGCATATTAATATCTAAAAAAGGCAATAAAATCCACTGTGTGTTTAAAAAAAATAGTAAGTAGGAGTATTACAAGCTGAGCAGTGAAAATCTGGAAGACTTCTTGGCTAGAGCAGGGCTGTGTGCAGTGCTGTTTCTCCCTTAATTACAAGCAATTTTAAATCATCTCCTTCCTTCAAAGAAGGATTTTGTTCAGGGTTTGTGTTAATTTTAATCTTGCTAACGTGATACTCTCTTGGAACCTCTCCCTTGTGTCATAACAGTGAGATGTGCTGCCTCTTTTGTCCCTGCCCTTTGGGAAATGCAGTTACTGCTGCTCGTTGCCTCAACCCTGCCGTCGTGACTATCAGTGTACCTCCCTTGAAAGGAGAAGAAAACAAAACCCAACTGCAGCATTGCTTTCCCCCCCCCAGAGGTTCACTTTTATTTGTGCTATTTAAGCTAGACTGTGCAAGTACTTCATGAAAATCAGGGATTTAAAATGTATGGTGATGTATTATAGTGGAAAGCTTGTTATTCAGCACACTAATTATTTCTGAGTCACCGTATTTATGAAACGGCGTGTAATAACTACTTCACCACCATGCAAAGTAAATAGTATAAAAGCAGGCATTTTATGATTTTGACATTTTAGTGTATAAACATATTCCTGAATCTCCTGGGGGGCTACTGGAAATCAGATAATGTTTTTATGACTTCTAAAAAATGACATTGAATTTCACAGTCTGTAACGCTCCATATATATAGTTAATGTTGCATATTTTATTACAGCCTCAGTGGTTTATGTTACAAGTGTCAGCTGCAAAGAGAAAATGTACAAAGGCGGGTTTGTGGAACTGTAGGGGAAACAACATCGTAAAACCTTGCAATGCACACATCAAAGCCCTTGGACAAGCTGTAATGGCAGGTCCTGGGCCGTGCTGGGACACCAGAATACACCCTCTGCTTTTTTTTGTTTCAGGATGGATTACAAAGCCCTCACTGAGTTTCTGCCCACACTTGTCACTAGAGGATAAGTAAGTTTGGGTTTTTGTCAAGCCCTGTGTGAATGACCCGTTAACTCCAGAGGAACTGGGATGCCTTGAGTGACACTCTGCGAGTGAGTACAGAGGGGAAGGAGGATGGGTTGCTGCTCCACTTGGGCTTCTGAGTAGTCTTGCATGGTCTCTGAGAACAATGGGTGGATGCTTACCAGAGTATGTGATTTCAGAAAATACTGTGCCTAAAACCAGGCCTTTTGTGCTCCTTTGCAAAGCTTGCTTGGTGTTACAGAAAAGTACCAACAGCTGGTATTGAGAGAGGAAGGAGGCTTTTACTCGTTTTTAAGATTCCATATACATAAATATCATGCTGATGTTTCATCATTACTAGCCCTTGTCCATGTGGGAGACTTTAACTTGATGGATGTCTGCTGAAACTCAACACAGCAGAGGAGGCAGTCTAGGAGTGTGTGGAAGAGAATTCCTGTCACAGCTGTTACAAACAGAGAAGGTTCAGTAGGAAATGTGCTGGTTGAAGGCCATCTTGGGCACAGTGACCATGAAATGATAGTTTTCAATTCTTAGTTTTCAATTCTTGAAGTAAGGAAGGGGGTCAACAAAACCTCTGCCTTGGGCTTCCAGAGGGCAGACTTTTGCTTGTTCAAGACACTGGTTCAGAGAGTCCCCTGGGACTGACTGTTTCCCAGGGGGAAACAAAAGGGTCCAGGAAGGCTGGACATACTTAAAGAAGATCTTAAAGGTGCAAGAGCAGACTGTCCCTATGTGCTAAAAGATGAATCGCCAGGGAAGAAGATCAGCCTGGCTGAACAGGGAGCTTTTGGAGGAACTCAGTAAAAAAAAAGAGAGTTTATGACCTTTGGAAGAAGGGGCAGGCAACTCAGGAAAAGTACAAGGATGTTGCTAAGTCAGGTAGAAAGAAAATTAGAAAGGCAACAGCTCAGCTAGAACTTAATCTGACCACCACTGTGAAAGATAATAAGAAGTGTTTTTATAAATACATTAACAACAAAAGGAGGGCCAATGACAATCTTCATCCTTTATTGGATGCAGGGGGGAATATTGTTACCAAGGATGAGGAAAAGGCTGAGGTACTTAATGCCTTCTTTGCCTCAGTCTTTAACAGGAAGGTTGGTTATCCTCAGGGCAACTGGTCCCCTGAGCTGGTAGGCAGGGATGGGGAGCAGAATAGACCCCCTGTAATCCAGGAGGAGGTAGGTAGTGACCTGCTGAGCCACTTAGACACAAGTCCATTGGGCAGGATGGGATTTACATGGAGGGTACTGAGGGAGCTGGTGGAAGAGCTGGCCAAGCCCTGCTCTGTCATTTACTAGCAATCCTGGCTAAACAGGGAGGTCCCAGTTGACTGAAAGTTGGCCAATGTGATGCCCATCCACAAGAAGGGTTGAAAGGAGGATGCAAGGAACTACATGCCTATCAGGCTGACCTCAGTGTCCGCCAAGGTTATGGAACAGATTATCTTGAGTGTGATCACACAGCACGTACAGGACAAGCAGAGGAACAGGACCAGCCAGCACAGGTTTAGGAAAGGCAGGTCTTGCTTGACCAACCTGATCTCCTTTTATGACCAGGTGACCCTCCTAGTGAATGAGCAAAAGGCTGTGGATGTTGTCTGCCTGGACTTCAGCAAAGCCTTTGACAGTGTCTCTCACAGCATTCTGCTGGAGAAGCTGACATCCCATAGCTTGTACAGGTTAAGAACTGGATGGATGGTTGAGCCCAGAGTGTGGTGGTGAATGGTGTTGCATTCAGTTGGTGTTTGGTCACTAGTGATGTTCCCAGGGGTCAGTGTTGGGCCCAGTCCTTTTAATGTCTTTATTGATCATTTAATATCTTTATTGATGATGTGGACGAGAGCATCAAGTGCACCCTCAGTCAGTTCACAGATGACACTAAGTTGGGTGGAAATGTTGATCTGCTGGAGAGCAGGAAGGCTCTGCAGAGGGATCTGGACAGGCTGGACCAATGGGCTGAGGCCAGTGGTGTAAGGTTCAATAAGGCAAAGTGCCATACTGAACACAATAACCAATGACTACTGGATGTGGCACTCAGTACCATGGTCTAGTTGACAAGGTGGTCATCAGTCAAAGGTTGGACTTGGTGATCTTGGAGGTCTTTTCCAACCTTCATGATTTTACAACTTTATGATTTTATATTGTATTTCTTTTCTGACTTTTCTATTAAAAAACCCAGCTATTAAGAATGCCTCTGACTATTATATCCAAGGATAAGTGTTTGAGATACCTGAGAGATACTCAGGGAATTGATAAGTCTTCAGTAGAAAAAAATGCCCTGAGATCAATTTCCTGATTCAGTACTGAAGTCCTCATATCATATAAAATGTAATGTGATTGTCCATGGCCCTAATGAAATCTTGACTTTTCTGCCAAGCTTTCATCTATAAAAATCAAATTTATCCGGCATTTGTCTGCATTTTGAAAGGGATAGGGATTTTTGAAATTGATATGATAGTAATCCTTTATGGTGCATTAATACAGGAGAACAATAATTTGTTGCATTTTCTTCACACAGAAACAATCAGCTGGGAAATGTGCATAATAATTGTCTTTGTCCTTCATTGTCACAGGCCATTAGCTAATGAATTTAAGCTGTACTTGGCTCTTGCTGCAATAAGAAAACTACATTAGAGATCTTGTAGCCGTGGTATTATATAAAGCCCTTCGGTGGGTTTTATTTTAGTCTCGCTGAGGTGATGCTGCCCCGGACTGAGGAAGGCATCATAATTTTGTGGTGAGCAATGAGGTCAGCATTGTCTGATGTAGTAGGTCAAGCAAGCTGAAGGGCACCGACAGTTATTGTTGTTGCCAGATGCCAGACCCTCTTTGTTTGGTTTCTTATATTTTAAGCAAACTTTTCACCTCTACTTTCGTGACAGTTTCAGGTTCTTCTTTTGGGTGGGAAGATTTGCTAAACTCAGTTCAGCTGTACTGAGAATCATACTAGGGAAGATAAGTCGTTTGGGCAGTGCTTTAAATAAACTACAGGAGCATGTAACTGTGAGTTGAGCAGTTTTACTACCTATGCAGTTTTTCTTCTCAACTAAGATGCTGGCAAAAGAAAACCCTGTGATGGAAGGTCTTCACTGTCCTGACCAATTAGGAGCTGTTGCTGCTGCAGTGGGCACCAGGATCTGCAGGCCAGCAGGCCATGCAGAGTGAGACTCCTGAGCCCCAGCAGAGGGGTGCAGCAGGATTATTCTATGGGATTTCAAATGCTGCAGTCTCCAAAGAGGCACTCCTGCCATGCTAGGCTACACCAGTCACCCAGCTACTCTGTCCTCCCCCCCATCTGTGTCACAGCTGGGAAATGACACACCATTCCTACCTCTTCATGTGTTCTGCCTGCTCCCAGGGAAGACACAACCTATGCGTTCAGTTGGGTTGTTGCCACCGCTGGGCTGCCAGAATGGTGAGCAGAATAGCAGGAGCCCGAGACAAAATTCATACCATTGTCATTTGTGTTGAGCATCTTATCAGTATCAGAAAAAGAACCTGAAACTTTCCAGGCATTACTTTGTATCCCAGCTTTTAGTTCATGGATGTCTTAGTCTTGGGAGGAGAATGGATGGTGAGTGTGATACACATCTGCAAGCTGCAGAGACTCTCCGGAGGGCAGTGGTGGCGTAACTCTGCATCTGTTCAGGGATTATTGCTTCTGCACAAGCTGCAACAGCACAGCATCTGAGGGATGGCTGTGGCAAAACAGTGGTAAAATTTTGTTGTGTCTTGTAGAGAGAGATGGCACCAGACAATCGGCAGTGCAGGGTAATTCACCTGCAAAGTTGTGTGAGAAATGAGTTGGGATGGCCACTCCTGTTAACAGGCACCATTTGCTCCCTTACCTCTTTTAGCTTCATAACTGGAGTCTGGAGTTTCCATGGCCTGCAGACCCCCTGTGCTGTCTGCCTACTTGGGCAAATGTTTTAATAGATAGTGCAGTGTTCTGAATGCTGCATCCAAACCCATGATGCTTTGGTGTAAAACAAGCATTGCTTGCAGCCGAGTAAGTGGCTGGAAAGCTTTGGGCTCTGGGGTGTGCAGGGAGCAGGTGCCAGGTTGCAGCGATCACCCATTTTTCTAAACCGGCAGCACTTACAGCCCTACTGACAGAGGTTGACTTGCACCAGAAGTAAATTCAATATGCATGAAAGGACTCTTGTTCTTCTTCAGTGGAGAGCATAAAGACATACTGTCAGACAAACTAATCTCTCTCTGATAATTTTCTTTTCAACATCATTGAACTGTCATTTCTCCTGGGCTTTGCCAGAGTGTTTGACATATCCGTTGTTTCTCAAAACAGACAGATTTTGCTAGCTTGGCTGATACAGAAATTTTTGCCAGGAAGAGAGATGCTGAGGTGCCTTTACCAGCCTTGTGCTGTTGTTTTGCAGGTCCTTTTGCTGAGCTCTGCAGCTCTGGTTAAGGATGAAAGGAAGGTATCTTGGTGATTGATTAGGTTGCATCTTTAAGTGCAGCAATGGAATTGTTCCCAGCACTTGCCCTGGGCTGGGAGCACATTTGCCGGGGTTTTGGGACTCTACTGTTTTTACTGGCGAGAAACCCATTTATACCCCTAGATCTTTAATTTCAAACCTAGGGATTCAAAGTGGCCCCAGGCACTAGTGTGTCACTGAGCTGCAGTTAGCAAGCGGCCCAAACTAGGGATTTCCTTTTCTTTTTTTTTTTTCCCTGATTGTCCCTCTACAGGGCTGGCAAAGCAGTCACTCCTTCTAGGCATGTGTGAAAAGTCAGTAAGATTCCAAGACTGTGGATGAAAAATATCTACATTGAGCAATCTCCTCTTAAGCCTGGGACTCACTGAGGAATCTGCCGTAGGGATACATGGTCCAGAAGGCTACATGTCCTCCATAGCTTGTGCAGAGGAATTTAGCAGAAAGGAGGTTGTAAAGTGGGGCAAACTGGAGGAGCCCAAACACCACCATGATCTGGCAAATGAGTCTTACACTCCATTTGTGGTCAGCTCTTTTATTTTTGGAAGCTAACATGTTTTCTGACAGTGTGACTTTATACAGTCTAAAAAGCAAATAGGGAGGTTAGTGATAACTCAGTTAAAAATAACTTGCAACACCATTTAAATCCCTATGGGTTAATCTGGGCATATTGAAGAGTAGTTTCTTAGTCTGGAATTATCCAACTTGGCTGTGATTATGTAGTTTAATTTCCAGATTAACTAGAGGTATTTGTCTAAGCTGTGTGGCTGCTGAGATATTAAAAGTAGGAGCAGGAAACTTTGCAGTCAGTTTTACAGCAGAATTAATTGCTTGTCCTTTCAAAACTGAGTTTTTCCACACCATCTCACACCTGCCCAACACCATTACTGCAAACACTTGTCCACTTGCATGTCTTGCATACATGAGTAGGTGCTTTCAGCTGTGGTGATTGTAGTTCTTCTGCAGGATGAAGGCCATACCACACATATATATTTCCACTCTGTGATTTGAGGTACTTTCCATCAAGTATTCACTAATGTCCCATCGTGTGATGTTTGGGATTCTGGTTGTACAAGTTGTTAGCTCCAAATTTCCTCTTAGCCTGGTAGGAACACAGTTTTGCATAATAGATTGTCTTATCACATCTGCAAGGTAATTGTTTCTCGACTGGCTTCCAAGAAGGCCTCAGATTTGATCTATGATGGCCTGTGCATTGCTAATGCCTGTATTCCAAGGAAGCATACCCCTGTTACTGATGAACTGCACGAATGACTGATGGTGTAGATCCAAAGTTAACTAGGCGTTCTCTTTAAAAGGTGACATATATTATATTTGGGCAAAGAGGAGTTTCCTGCATAATCTGTAGAGACAGCTGTGTTCCATTTTATGATTTCTCTGGCGGTTACAGAAATACAGGTAAAAGGCTTTACATTTTTCCAGCTCATTATTCTGATTGCATGTCCAGCTACTGATTTTCTGATAAATGGGATCACAGTAGAAAAAAAAAGTATGGGCTGTACCACCTTCACTCCTTGACCTTTCCACCACTGAATCTGCAGTTTCCTTAGATGCCTCCATGAAACATCTACAGCTGGTTAAGCAGAGATTTGACACAGCCAGGGTCATGTAGAATGGGTATGGGAGCTAGAAAGCAAGTCTTCCTCTGAACTTGCTCCATCTCTTATTTTCTTCTGTAACTCTTAGAAAAGGGTCTTTCTGTTCTTAACCTCCATCCGTGGAGAAAATGTCTTGTGTTTTCACTTGTGCTGCTGTACCTCTCTGAGATGCTTGTTCCAAATCCTAGCCATAGGTTGCTCCCTGTCTTTATCTTGTATAAAGTTTGGCCCTTTCGCTTTCAGCTGTGTCTAGAGAGCATTGGTGGTGGTCTGTGTAGCAGCAATTAGCTTAAGAAAAAAATTACATATTAAAAAAGGTCATGTTTAAAGTCGAAAAGAACTGTAGAAATTGAAAGAAAAAAAAATCTCAATGAGAAAAAGCAAACAGTTCCAGAGAATCAAGGTAATTGTTTATGAAGGGCATCTTAAATTAACAGGCATGGATTATTTGGTAATAAGTAATAGAATCATAGAATCATTTAGGTTGGAAAAGACATTTAAGATCATCAAGTCCAATGGTCAACCCAGCACTGCTGAGCCCACCACTAAATCACGTCCCCAAGGGCCACATCTACACAACCCTTCCAGGCTCCCTCCCCCCTGAGCTTCCTTTTCTCAGGCTGAACCCCCCCAGCTGCCTCAGCTGCTCCTTATCAGACTTTTGCTCCAGACCCTTCACCAGCTCTTTTGCCTTTCTCTGGACACGCTCCAGCACCTCAATGTCTTTCTTTGTCCTGAGGGGCCCAAACTGAACACAGGACTCAAGGTGTGGCCTCACGAAGTGCCCAATACAGGGGGATGATCACTGCCCTCTCCTGCTGGCCACATTATGTGCTGTTTGTTTTAAAAAGAGAGGGAGAAAGGCATTCTTTGCCCTCATTAGTGCTGCAGGATGTCCTATACAAGCATAATTATGCTCTGTAAAAAGGCTGGGGAGACCACACAGGAAGGGCATTGAAGAACTGGAAAGGGTACAGGAGACACTAAGCATGATAAAAGATTGAAAGTTGTTATTTATGGACAAAGTACTGCCTGCTTCTTTTTTTTTTTTAATTTTTTTTTTTTTTGAGAAGAGGGTAACTAGGGCCACTAAGAGGTGTACACAATTTCATGGGTATCAAAGGGCTATGACAAAACTAATTCAGACCATTGCAAGCTGACTAACAGGGGAGTTGATAATAAACTTGGAGAAAGCAGCACTGATCCAGTGTTCTGATCCAAAGCAGGGAAATGCTCTCTGTAGTGTAGAGTCTCCACCACCAGTGCCCCATCTTTGGTCTTGACTCCACAGGCTGGATTGCACTGAGACTTCTGCATTTCAGGAATGTGACTCCTGTCCTTGACCTGGTCTGCAGATAAATACAACATGCCCCTTAGTGCTGAGTGGTTTGGGAAGAATGTCAGCCAGACAAGAGAGGGGAGATAAAGGAAAGACAGGTGAGGATGTTTTTCATCTGCTCTGTTTGAACCACCGTGCTTGACTTTGCCTACAAGACTTTGGGCAGTGGGGTTAAGAGGGGCAGGGCAGGGATTACCTGGTCCCTCTGGGGTGGCAGAACAAAGTCGGTCACAGGAGAGCAAAGGGGCTGTGACATGAGGCTGCCACTCAGGGGACAGGCCTTTTGGGTACTCCTGGCACAGAGCCTGGAGGGGAGGCACTCACTGCCTGGCTGAAGCACAAGCAGGGGCTCACCACATACACGTGTGAGCTCCAGCCACAGCAAGAGAATGGGAGAACAATCCATAAAAAAGAGGTGCTGGTGAGGTACCCCAACCCCTGTCTCTGCAGATTCCCTTTGGCAGCAAAGCTCTCTCAGGATTAGGAGGTTTAACAGGGTGGGTGCCTGTACACAGCTCCACACATTGGGCTGGGATGTGGTCTGGGCTGGGAATGCTGCACACAGGAGCTGTTCCATAGGCAAGAACCAGGCTGGGCTGCCTCCCTCAGCCCCTGCCAGTGTTAACAAAGCACAAGCCCGCCAGAGCACATCCTAAAATCTGCTTCTTTTGCTTGCAAGGCAAGAACAAATGGTGATGTTTTTATGCCTTAAGCACAGCTGGGGGTATTGCTGAAATGATATGCTTTTGTTCCAGGCTATGATAGGAACTGGGCTGTCTGATTCTGCAATGTGGGAATCGCCTTTTCTCAGCTGCCAGTGTCAAAGTCAAGCTTGCATTGCACAAATAAAATGGGGTATTCCACACACACACCTGCACCCTTTCAATTGTCACTGACATTTAGCAGAGGGAATATTCAAAACATTATTCCCTCCAATACAGAATGGCTGTTGGGTGTTACCAGATCACATAAAAAGACATCTGAGTGGAGTTTTTCCAGCAACAAACAAGAAACAAAGGGAGGATTAAAAAAATGTTTTGCTATGTATACTGTTATGATTTTTTTGGTGAATATATATATATATAAATTGATGTTGAGATGTGAAGAAACAAAGAAAAAGAGCAGGCAAGTGTGCTACCATAAAATGTAGCATGACTTGTTACAGAACTGAATGTTACAGGGTCAAGCATCAGGTAGGGACATGTGTTGGGGACCAGGATGGTACTTTACATTTATTACTGAGGTCAGTACAAATTCTCCACTACCTTAATTAACGTGGGATCAAAGGTTTGATGAGATCTAGAAATCCAAACACATTTAAAATGTGGCAGGTGTGGGTAACCTCAAGTACACAGCCCATTGCCTCAGAAAGAGGAATGTTCTTGCAAATTTGACATAATCCAATTAGTTGATTCCCTCAGTGACATTTCTGCAGGCTCATGTACAGAGGGACAAGGAAAGGGAGATTTATGACAGCTATTCCTAGCAAAGGTCATTTCTTTATTAGTGAACAACCTGTCCTTAGTCATGCTGATGACGAGGCGTTGAAGGATAAGGGAGAGGCTGTGTAGCTTTAAAACTTGACAGGGAATAACAGCAATAGAGCATAGATCATCTCTCTACTTGGACCAGGAGGACTAAAATCTCCCACCATTAGGCCAAAGCCAGAGAGCAGGAGGCAAAATCCAGGAAAAAAAATACATGGGGATTTCTGTGGAGATTGTGAAGGAGTTTGGGTGGTTCAGTGTCAGCACAGCAGGGGGGAAAGAGGAGCCACAGAGCATGAATATGTGTTTTTGGATAGGATGAGTGTCCTTGGTGGAACTAGCTGCTTATAAAGAACCTGGTATGGTTGCTCTGGGGAATCCCTGGTCAGCACTGCCAACTTCCCAGCTTGAGCAGCTCTCAGCATCCTGTTCCATGCCATTTCCAGAACAACACAGATGAGAGCATGCTCAAATATATACAAATACACTTCCTCGGCTGTCCTTCCATAGGCAAGGAAAGCACAAGATTTGACAGGAATATGGTTTCAGTAGATTGTGACATACACATTATGTGTTTTTAAATAATAAACCAGCATCTACCTATTCATCAAGTAACTATTTTTCCTGCTTGCAGAAGAGAAGGTATTTGACACTGTACATAAAATGATGCAACATTTTTTTCATAATCAGAAGGACCCTTCTGGGAGTCACAGAAGAGTTGTTTGCTCAGGTATTGACTTTAAAGGTGAGCATTGGGTACTTTGATGTAATTGGCTGTGCTTGTTTTCACCATCAAGCTTGGATTAAGTAAAAATGTGACAGTTTCCCTAGACCATGGCTCAGATCCTGAGCCACCCTCTAGAGCTGAGCTATGGTTTGAGCTGGGTCACTGGCACAAACCAGGCTTGTGGCTGCTGCGCAGGACCAGTCAGGAGATCTTTGCAATATGGGAATGAAGTCAACAGGGAGCTTCCTTGCCGACTCATCTGAGTGCTCTGACCCAAGGAAGGGGTATGGGGTTCTTCATCTAGTCCCTTGCTAATCCCTTTTTGCCATTTATTGGGTCCTTTGGGCTGTGAGCTGCCAACAGAAGTCACACAAGCTTTTGAGTTGGTCTGGTATGAGGCTCAGTCCAGTAACCTCATAATGCTGTGCTGGCCTCTAGCTTTCAACCTCCAGCTCTAGATCTTGCCCTTCCTTCCACAGTAATTCTTCACACCCTTTGAAATCTCCTAAAGCTTTCCCCAAAATTGCAAGAACTGAGGAGTACTAGTCTTAAAAATTGTAAAATAAATGGATAATTTGTAGGATAATTGCCTATGTTATATTTCTCCCCATGCCACAAAGGAAAAAGCAGCCTTATGCCATGCACCTCCCAGGCCTGGTGTAACTCGAATCCAAAAGCTATGAAGGAAATGGAAAATGTTAATAAATAATGATGTTTGAAACACAAGTCACTGAGCAAACCACCAGATCTTTTGCATTTATTCCACGGGACAGAAAATGTCTATCTCAGTTTGAGGAAAATAAGATCTTGGTCAAAGATATGTCAGGAATTAGCCTGAGTGCTGCACAATATTTAGGAGATAAATCAGAGAAACGTATGGATTAACTTTTGGTAATATATTCAGAATAAAGACAAGTTTTGAAATAAAATCAGCACAACTGATTACTGGACATTTCCCTGGTATGAGAAACTAGGGATCTCCTCAGGTCCACTAGAATTTCACATTACCTTGTCTGATCCACTTTACAACTGCCAGTTTTCCATCTGGTATTTTCCAAGTCAAAATCAAGCATGTGTGTGCTCCACACTGCGTGTTTTCACTCTGATGTACTCTGGAAATCCTGGCCTCATTTCCCAAATCCTAAGCAGGTGATCTGCATTTAATCAGTGGATGTCTCCCTCAAGTGTGTTGGAATTACTCTGTGTGCAGACCAGCTGCAAAACTGGGACAGAAACGTTAAGTTAAATGTGCAAAGTCTTCAAAACTATTCTGGAAAAAGAGCATTTCCGAGAAACTCTGTATGAGTAGTACAACTGCCTGTAATATTTCCAGTGCAACACTTTAGAAAAAGGAGAATCGCTGCCTTTCCCAGGCAGCTCGGGTAAGGACTGAAGACTGACACACTATAAGCAAAGGGCTGATGTTTTCAATAGCCCAAATATTCACCCTCTCCGAAGTAACTTAGTTTAGCTTAGGCCTGTGGCCATCCACACAGTCATTTTTTCTCTCCTTTCACTCCAGCCACTGAATGCTGGCAGCCTCTACGATATGCCAGCCCAGTCAGAGGCAGCTTAGGAGAAAGGAGGGAAGCACTGGGATAAGGAGCTTCCCAGTCCGTGGATCAGGCTTGGACTCCATTTGGTTTGTCATGGAAAAGAACACAGAGGAGGTCTGCAAAGCCCCGAGGCCTCAATTTCACAGCTGCTCTCAGAGCTCTACTGCATTATCTTCCGTATTTCCCTGTGCTTCCACTCGATAGATGGCTTAGTTTCTGATTTGGCTGGCTGATAGGTTTGGGATTAGCTCCCACAGATCACACAACCACCTTACCCTGACTCTGAGATTCAGTGAATTTCAGAATGATTGCAAATGGCGCTTTGGGATCCAGAACTTAAACACACGCGTACGCGTGTCCAGGAGGCACGTGGGCAACGAGCAGCGTGGCACTTTCTCTGTGAACCAGAATAAGCCTCCATTTAATGTCAGATCAATGCTAGAACCCAGCACCGAGCGTTTACATCTGGCTCCCGACACCACCTCAGTGGCACTGCACGGTGGGAGAAACATTCAGCCAGCCTGGCTATGGGGAATTCACAGCCACATCCCACCTCGCTGCCCCGCTCTCCCTCGCAGCCACTTTCACACAGACCTGCGCAGCACACCCAACCCCCAGCGCCTGGGCGCCGCTCTGCGCACGCCGGTTCAACCGGCAAAGAAAACATCATCCTGCCCGCGGAATTTCATTCCCACCAACTTCCCGTCCCCACGCGAACTCCGGAGCCCCTCCCGCACCGGGGCCTGCGCTGCGGGACTCGGGCTGGGCCTGGCGCTCGGCCCGACCCCTCCTCAGGGCGGGCCCGGCGCGGGGACTGTCCCTCGCCGTGGCTTCGCCGCCCCTCCCGCCGCCTCCATCCGCCTCCCGCGGCCGCTCGCTCGCTCCCTCCAGCCGCCCCGCGCCCACCTCACGGGCGGCGTCTGGGCTTGGCTTCCCTCCCCGGCCCCGGGGCGGCGGGTCCCGGGGGCCGCGCGAGACCCCAGCCCTGCCCTGACAGCCCCGCTGCCGCTTTAGGAAGCGCCGCCGCCAATCGCCGGGCGCTCTCGCGCTGACGGGCGGCCGCGCCCACCTATCGTGTGGCTGCTCCTCACAGGGAGCCCCGCCTCCTCGAGGCGGGCGGCAAATCAGAAAAAAGACGGGGCTGTGGGCGGGAGGCGAGGCCCTGAGAGCCCCGTCTGCGCTCATCGCCCCCCCGCTCCGCTGCCCCTCTGGAGCGCAGGTGATTGACAGGGGCGGCGCCCAATGGGGCCCTGCGGCCCCGCGGCGCGGCCAATGGCGCGTTGGGGGCGGGCGGCGGGGGCGGTGCGAGCGGCGGGCCGGGGCGCGGCGCGGCGCAGCGCCTGCAGGAGGGCGATGGTGGCGGCGTGAGG